CCATTTTAACATCCACGTGGTACTTTATCAGTTCCCTGGCAATCCTTTGGTGTGCTCACCTACTGCTAAACAAATGTGTGTGTTCGGCTGCCAATCGGTTACTTTTTCGAACTGTTTAATGTGAAGTTTCTCGCCGACGTTAAGGAAATATACTAAAATAACTACTATATGCATTTTAGTAGGCGCAGTTATGCCTCTTTTACTGTACAAGTTCTGCTAGCTGCGTTGACTTTATCAGCATTGCACGCCCAACTTGGAAATTTTTAGCGTCCTGTGGTTATTTTTAGTTGTATAAGTTTTAGTTTAGTTTTTTTCAGTTTTTAGTTTATTCGTTTAATTTTAGTTTTAGTTTAGTTAGTTAGTTTAACTTAGCTCAGTTCATTTTAGTTTAGTCTTTTGTTTATTTTAATTAATTTATCATTTTCGCTTATTAGTTTTTTTGAGTTTACCTCACTTCAATTATTTTAGTTTTAGCTTAGTTTTATTTGGATTAGTTTAATTTTAGTTTAGCCCAATTTAGTTTATTTTTAATTTTCGCGACATGCAGTTGCTTTTCGGCTTCTTGTACTAAAATATCTTTCCAAATGCATTAGAAGCTATTGTGAGATTTTAAAAAATGGGAAGAAGCCTACCTTTCGTGGTTGTACTTTAAAGTCTACAATTCGATATAGAGTCGATGTACGATTGTATCCAATTCGTGTGCACGACTTGTGTACTTCTTGTTTCCTATTGGTTCTATTTATCAATTTAATTATCGCGCGATAAACCTTGGGTTATTTAAACCGTAATTCCTATTATTATCCACATTTATACGCTCTATTTTTAATTTATTTATTCTTTCCCCTGATATGACCCACCCATATAACCCCTATTACCACTGGTCCCGTAAGATAGACTCTTGGGGCTAGGGGTATCTAAAATTATCGAGCAACTTTACTTTTGCCAACTGTTTGTTTTTCTCAATGAAGTCACTGACTCAAGCATTTCATCCAGCGAGATGATCACCTCGTGCATGAAAGAGCGTCTGCCAGAAATAGAAGCCTGGCGTAAGCGTAAACAGACTGCTGAGAGTATCGAAGGAGAAGCGGAGAAGGAGGAAGAAGAGGAAGGAGGTGATGACGATAACTCGAGGCGCAACGGTCATCTGAGGCTAGGTAACGGACTGTCAGCAGCCGAGGAGTTAGTCTCCCTGAAACTCGCCCTGACGAGGTTACAAGCTGCATCACTTATGGGTAAGTCGGACGTTTTTGAGCGAAGCAAACTCTGTACACTTTGTTTACGCATGGTCTAAAAAGGCAGAATCAGGGAGACTGTCCTGTCGAAATATTCTCATCGCCAACCGTCTTGCGGCCGGCTCTATGAGAGTGCAAACTATTTCGGTGGGGAAGAGTGGTGCAGTGCGTGTGAAAGAGAACTTAACTTCAATGTTTTGTGTATTTACCTGTTTTAACGGTATGATCCGACGGTATGTTTTTGCCAGTTGACCACGACAGGTTTAGCGGACCTTCGCATTTAGAAGTAGTAGTAGTAGTAGTAGTAGTAGTAGTAGTAGTAGTAGT